GTAATGATGTAACGACGACGGGCGTAACCTCTTATACGGCGAGAGAGGGTACCTGTCGACATACACTAACCCTATACATACGTACCACACTTTTCTCAACTTACCATCGCATCTTGCTAGCGCCATAGTATGGCACGTAGAAGTGAGGCACCACCTTAGAAATGTGGCTAAAGTGCGTTGGACTGGAAAGACATTGACGTGAATGTAAAAACATCTTGACCAACTGACAGTCTCACGAGACGCAGTCAAGCGAACCCGGGCGAGCGAAAGTTTTCCGACCGTATTCGACCTCAGATCTTTGGAACTTCAGAGACGCTCACCATCGCCTATGAGGGCCGACGCATATCAGATCCTAAGGAGCAATGCCGAAACCTAAGGGAGGCGGGGCCCGTTGCTCTATCGAGTGATGTCCGACGACAAAGTGACTCAACCGAATGCACTCCATACGTGGAGGTGATTCTGCTGAGGCGGGATAATATCGCTTCGAATGGTAGAGGAGATATGAGAATGTGGATTTTTCGCGCAGGATAATAATGAGCTCAAATATAAGTAGTAATAGCCCCAGTCTGGGAATCAACACATCCAGCACTGCCTAGCACCACTACGTGCAGGCGGTCGCGACCTACATCTTATCGACCGTCGCCAACTACGACACTCATAAGCAGTTATCAGAAACTTGCTATCACATGCCGTCCTTGCTGTCCAAGGCCAGCGTCCTGGCCAGCTCGTCCAATTGACTAAGACAAGCATCCGAGCCTTCCTCAGCAGTGGCCAAAGCCTCCTGTATCCGTCTCATCTCCTCGGTCGGTTGCAGTCTGGTGCTGATCTGTGTTGCCCATGAGAAGTCCGTCTTGCGGCCCTCGTACATCACTACTCACACAGACATCCCCACGATAGACTGACGCCATACTCTTACTTCCAGGTGGTAACGATACACTGACCGAGCCAGCCCTCGACAACACCACGCCTCTACCATGCTCATCAACTATACAAACAAATACACCATCGCTAGGTCCCGCTTACCTACACCACTTCGCTGCGATCCCTATCGCCGTGACCATCTTGATGATGCTCCTAGGGCCAATACCTAAGGGCCATGGTGATCGAGGC